TTCAGTGCCAACCACCCTCTGGGGGAAGAACCTTTCCCTGAGATCCACCCTGAGCCTGCCCTGACACAGCTCCAGCCATTCCCTGGGGGCTGTCCCTGCTCCCCCCAGAGCAGAGCTCAGTCCTGCCCCTCCTCTGCCCCTGCCCAGGCAGTTGGAACTGCAGGGAGGTCTCCCCTCAGTCTCCTCTGCTCCAGCTGAACACACCAAGTGCCCTCAGTGTCCTCACACGCCTTCAAACCCAGGCCCTTCCCCATCTCTCTGCCCTCCTTTGGACACTCTCCAATGGCTCAATCTCTCCCTTCCATTGTGTCCCCCCAAACTGCCCCAATGTTGAGGTGAGGCCTCCCCAGGGCAGAGCAGAGCAGGACAATCCCCTCCCTGATGTCCCCAGCACAGGGATGTCCCTCCTGGCTGCCAGGGCACTGCTGACTCAGGGACAGCTGGACCCACCAGCACCCCCAGGGCCCTTTCCCAGCTCTGCTTTAGCGCTTTCTAGCCCTTCGTTCCCTGGGTTACACACGCAGCCAGGGCTGACCCGTCCCGGGCGCAGAATCCGGCGCTTGCCCTCGTTAAGCTCCCAGCCTGACCGTTTCTGTGGCTCTGTGGTTTCCTCCCGCCCTCACACCGGGGCAGCTCCCGCGGGGCTGCGCCGCTGACCCGGCCCCGCTGCCGGTGGGGCAGGGCGGCCCTCCTCGAGCGCTGTGCCCCCGCCGCCCGGCGCCCTCCCGGCACGGGGAGGAGGCAGCGAGGAGGGGAGGAGAGGAGGAGAGGGCGGGGGAGGCGAGCGGAGCCCCGTGCCGGTCTCACTCACCGCGACCGCCCCGCGCCGCTCCCGCCTCCTGCCGCCGCCATGTTTGTTGTGCCTGCCCCGGCCCGGTCTGGCGCGGCCCCGCCCCCCCCCGCGCTCTCGCGAGACCAGCTCGCGCGCGGGAGGGGCGGTGGCTTGACGTCACTACGGAGAGGGGGGCGGTGGCTCTGACGTAATGACCTGTGTTCTGACGTCACGGCGGGCGGGGCCAAGATGGCGGCGGCGGCGGCAGGGGCTCGGCTGAGGGGCTGCGCGAAGGTGACGCCTCGGGGCGGGACGGGACGGGACGGGCAAAGCGGGGGATGCACCGATTCCCGGCGGGATAACGGCGGCTCCGAGCCTGCCGGGGGTGGGTCCGGGTGCGGGGGCTGCCGCGGTGCGGGGGCAGCTCTGCCAGCGGTGCCGGGGTTTTGTGGGTTCTGCTTGGCGGATTCTGCTTGGTGGATATATCCCTCCTGGGTGTATTCTGGAGGGGCGGCCTTGCGTGAGTTCGTGCTGAGGAGAGCTCTTGTGAGTCTTGTGAAATGGCCTGCGAGGAGGCGGCACCGTCCTGGCAGCGGGGGGTCTTTGAGGTCTCATTTTTAAATATCAGCACAAGGATGGGCAAGGAGTGGAACCCAGCGGGGCAAGCAGAGTGAGCTCAGGAAAACATATTGCTTTGGCCTTTTTTCTGTTTGTCTTATAATGTTCCCCCCCACCCCCACCCCCCCGGTCCTGCAGCATTAAAATCTTGGGTTAGATTGTAAAACAAACAGGAGGAAACCAAGAGAGCGGGGCCTTAAAGGGCTGAGGGGGAGGGAAGGATGGAGATAAACAGAAAAATCAGTGTTATCAGCAACGCACAAATCAACTTTCAAATGTGGAGTGTTGAGTAGGGCAAGCAGTGTCAGTCCTGTAGCAGCACAAATCATTACCCACAGAAAAAAGAGGAGGAAGAAGAGGGCAGGGAAGCAATATCCAAGGATCTCAGTAACATACAGGCACTTTAAATAACTACCTGGAAGTTAGTGATGCTGTACGACTGCATGACTTCTACGAATAAAAAGGTAAACAGTAATGCAGTGACCTGATTCTTTCTGGGTTTTTTTTTAAATACAAATGTTGAACTAAAACATAATTTCTGCAGTGGGCTGTCCTTACTCTTCAATACCTGTGAGTTGCTGCTCTGTGTGTGGGTGTTGACAGCTTTTCCAAAAGTTTCCCACTAGGAAGGCACTGTGCACTTTCCCTGACAGCTCTTGGTCGGTACTGCAGAAATATCCTCAGTGATTCATGGTATTTGTGCCACCACGAAAGAAAACTACTCTTCTCTTTGAACTTGGGAATAAAGTAGTGGAAGGAGCAGGAGTTATGTGTGGTTTGTAGCCCTGTAGCTGCTGAGGAAACACAATTAAATAGATGTGTGTGTTGTGTAATCAGCCCCACTGGTCAGTACCAGGGCTGCTGAATGTGAATGAACACTGAATATTCACAGAAGTATTGTTTTCTATATTATCACTTCTTACTGGTTTTTTTTTCTTATCTTCTGCGCAACTGTCTGTGCTAAAATCAGAGTGTCCTTATCTTCTTGTCTCTAAGACAGAAAGAGCTCATCAGTCTGTTTTACCTCCCTTCTTCAGCCGGGGAGATGACAAGTGTTGAAAGCCAACATGAAAGAGAGCGAATCGTTAGAAGGATCAAAGGAATTTTTACTTCCTGACCCCAAAGTTTGTGCTGGTTTTTGAGGAATGCTGCTCTGAGCGTGCACTGTGAAAGTGCCCTGTGCTCTGGGAGCTGCACAGGCGCCTGCTGAGGGCACAGCCAGTCCTGCTGCTGCTGTTCAGCAAGAATAACTTTTTGAACACTAAACATTTTATAGGTCTCCAAGAGAGCTGTCTGAGTTGGGTGTAAGTTCTGTTTCCCAATCATTCACTGAATAAAAGCACTGGGTGAAGCTATGCATTGCTGTGTGTGTATAGATCTAACTGTTTGCATGTTCTGTGCTTGTTGCCAACAGCTGACAAGAAATATTCCAGCATTCTTGGCTCCCTGGAGGTTTTCCCAGTGTGCCTTTAGATCCTCCAAATCGGAACTCAAGCCGAATCTCTCCAGTGATGGAGTTGTCTGTGCTCCACTTCACACGTTCACTGAAGAGGAGGCAATGCTGAAGAACATGGGTAACCTTTATCTGTGCAATTACAATTCAGAAATGTTTAACTAGAAGGGAAATTTTAGCTGAAAATCTTATTCTCATTGTTTATTTCTAGTTAAATGTTGAGACTGTTGTGGGGGGATTGTGCTTTACACCGTGTTGCTTTTGGGGAGGGTCAGGGAACACGTGGCATAACCTGTCAGAAGTACCATGTTCCTGTTATATTGATCCCCAAGGAGACAGTTGGAATACTTACACATCCTCTTTCTTCTCTTGATTGCAGTGACAAAATTCGCTCAGGAACGAGTGGCACCTTTCGTGCAAAAAATGGACGAGAACTCGAAAATGGAGGACTCCATAGTACAGGGATTGTTTGAACAAGGGGTCTGCACACTTTTTACTGAACCTTTGCCCAGAAAGTAACATCACTTTGTGAATCTCTAGCTGTGCCCTTTTCAGATTTTTAGATTTAAAGATTGAAAGATATAACTCAAATGAGGCAAGGAGTCATTGAAATTGTAGTTTTATCAACAGCAAGACAACTCTAATTTGTTGTCTTTTGTACTGCAGTATCACTCCCCATGTTATAATATTTTTTGCACCTCTCCCTCCCCTATATCATAAATTTTTTAGTTCCTTGTCATCCCTTCCTTGTTTTTTTTTTTTTGATTGGATAAGCATAATTGCACAGAATGATGGAAATGAATATCAGGAGTCCTCCATGCCCTACTGGGCAACCATGAGGACTTGTGTTGCAGATATCCTGGTGTTCATTCCCGGATTCAGTTTTACCCTTTCCTGTTGTCAGACCTCAAGCTGATCCTTAAGTTGTTTTCCAGCCTAAACAATTCTGTGAAGAACTGTCAGTTTGTTAAGGGTGTTGAAGGAAAATGGGTTTTGGGGAAGGATCTGCAAACGCTCACACATTCCGTGGTTTTTATTTTAATCTCTTAAGTATCAGCTTGGACTAAAAAGGTGTTGACAGGAACTCACAGATTGATGTATTTGCACGTTTTCCATTTCAGCTGATGAGTATTGAGCTTGGGGAAGAATATGGAGGAACCGGTGGTTCATTTTTTTCAATCATATTGGCAGTAGAAGAATTGGCCAAAGTTGATGCAGCTGTGGCTCTTGTATGTGAACTCCAGAACACACTAACAGTTAAATTGTTTACCACATATGGAACAGAAGAGCAAAAGAGAACTTACCTGCCCAGGGTGTCTAAAGACACAGTGAGTCAAAGTCTTACTTTACTTAACTTTTAAAATTACATTATAGTTTAGTAACGTTAGTGGGGCTTTTTTTTCAGTGACTGATGTGTGACTGCAGCTCTGGAAAATTTGTGTGAACTTTTGAAACACTGGTTAGAGCTGAGATCTGTGGTGATATAGATACCTCCTGTCATCAGTAGCTGAGAGGTAAAAGTGGAAAGGCACTTATTAGTTTCATTAAAATTTAATTCACTGTGGAGAAGAACTGTAAAGCAGTTGACTTTGAGAGATGTGTAATTACACAGTGTTTCTATTCTTAATCTCCATATCCAAAACTCAGTTACCTTCCTGCAATAGGTTAAAATGTTTGAATTTAAGAGACTTCTCCTTGTTTATAAGCATTTTCATTGCAGAGTTTGCTATCTGTTAAAATTGCAATTCTTTTTTTTCCCCTTCTCTTGACAGTTAGGCAGTTTCTGTCTTTCGGAGGCTGGGTCTGGCAGTGATGCCTTTTCCTTGAAGACTCGAGCTGAGAAGAAAGGAGACTACTATGTTATCAATGGCTCCAAGATGTGGATTAGCTTAGCAGAAGATGCAGGAGTTTTCTTTGTGATGGCAAATACAGATCCATCCTCAGTGAGTTGCTAAAGAACAGTTGCATTTCAGTGACAGCTGATGTCTGTGAAACTGTGGGTTTCATGTTAGTAATCTGTGCACCTTTTCCTAGCTGGCAGCAAACCTTTAAAAACATTTCCCAACTAAAAAGTATCCTACAGTGAAGTATGTTCAAGTAAAAAATTACCCAGCTGAATATGCCTGTGCTAAATTTTGTCCCCAGTTTGGGTGTGGGAAGTAAATTCAGAAAAGTCGGCTGCAGATTTTAAAATCTTGTATACCAATAGGGTAATTATCAAACACAAAACTAAATTGTTCAAAACTTTTATTTTTTTTAAAACTCTTTCCAGGATCTCTGTCTTAAAATTAAAATTTCCTGGTTTGACTTAAATAAGAAGAGGGAGTGGTTTTCCTTCGTTGCACTGAACGGTTGAACATCATCTCAAACCACAGTTAGCACCAGACAACGGTGCCAGTGCTTCAGTAATACAGCATTAAGCAAGTGTAACATTTCAGTTATTGGGTTGAGATGTTTGGACCACTGTTTGGTGATATTAATGTAAAAACAAGCTCTTGATTATTTTTTACCCCACCCCCAGGGGTACAGGGGAATTACCTGCTTCATAGTGGATCGCGACACGGAGGGACTTCACGTGGGGAAGAAGGAGGACAAGCTGGGAATCAGAGCATCTTCCACCTGCCCAGTGACTTTTGACAACGTGAAGGTATTGTAAGTGCAGCTGTTGAGGCATAATTCATGTTTAATTGGAGCTTGACCACAGATAAGGGAAAGAATGTTAACTAAATTCCCTGGGTTTTATCCCTTAAGATTTGGTGTATTTTAACTTTTTTCCTCCCAGTTCTTGGGGGCACTCGAGTTTCTAAAATTTTGATGCAGTTTTTTCTCAGTCATCAGTTTATAACCAGAGGAATCAGGGAATGTTCTAATCAGATATTCTGGGGATCAAAATGTCTGCTTTATGTTTTATGCCTTCGCTTCTGAGGAACATTAAATAAAACATGTGCAGTGATTCGGCTGTGAGCCCTCCGAGCAGTTGCAGAACAGAACTGGAATAATGGAGTGGTTTTTGTTCTTCAGGTTCCTGAGACCAATATCCTGGGACAGGTTGGACAAGGCTATAAGTATGCCATTGGAATGCTCAATACTGGCAGGATAGGGATTGCTGCACAGGTGGGTCATTTGCTTTATTACTGAATGCAGCCAGTTTGGATTGAAATCTATGAAATATTTAAAGCTATTAAGAATAAACGATTTAGAAAATGCTTTACTGAAAGCTCAGCTGCCACTAGATGTCACTGTTCCTGTAGCTAAATTCCAGTAAAAATGGGAACAACTGTCAGAGGGAAAATTCTCCTTTGGTGACATAAGCAGTGGATTTAGAAAACATTAAATGGCAATTAGCTTGTCTCTGGTCGTTAACTTACTGCTACTGAATTATGTCAACATTCTTATCTTCCATTATGAAAATCTATTTTACACAGAAAGCTGGCTTTGGAAAATAGAACACACCGAAATGTATAACATTAATGCTTCCAACTGTGATTGTGTGGGATTGGCAAATGTGACCTTATGCTGACCGATGTTTTCCCAACAACTTATTTTTTAAAGTCAACTTATTTTTGAAATAAATACGGTTTTCTATAGCAGAACTGTTCCAGTTCGTTGTTGCGTTTGAAAATTGCACCATGTGGCATCTTAGGGTAAAGTATTTACTGACCTTGAAGTAATTTCAAAACGTTGTATTTCACTGTAAAGTCAGTTTTCATCTCAGATTGCTGCTGATCTCAGTGGAAATCAGGTTCAGCAATATAATAAAATGATCTGTGACAAGTTTTTATATTTTCAACTTACTCTAGCAAGTAATATTTTCTTTGCTTTCTCTTTGTTGTGCACTATGTCTGTACTACCAGTCTCCTTTATCTTTTGCCCTAGTTTGCAGACAGACCAAAAGTGATCATCCTCATGAAATTTAGATTTTCCACGTGGCTGATAATTGGACTCGCTTTTCCATCATTTCTAAAGATTACCTGTGATTAAACTTTGTCTGATTTGGCATTTAAAAAGTGCTGTGGGCCCCCTCGTTCCCAGAGATATAAATAATATAGAGGCTCTGGCAGTAAAATACATGGTCTGGATTTTAGTCTTAATTACTCCAAGTTACACCTTAATTAAAAGCTAAGGTCAGGTAGTTGTTACATCTTAGGTACTACTTTCTTGGCACCTTCAAGTTAAGAGAAATGTACTTGTCGAGAGCAGCAGCTCCAAAGCCCTGTAGTATTGAGCTTAGTTTTGCAGCACTAATAGTTTTAAAAGATAATGGAGATCTTAAAAACTGTAATTGTGGCTTTGGAAACAGTTTCAGGTGGTTTTAGTGCAGGGCAGCTGCACATGTTGTTACAGGTGGTGCAGTTGATGTCCTTGACTCTTTTATAGGGGTTTATAGAAAGAGGTAACAAATCTGATAATGGGGCTGATGAGCAGCAGACTGCAATGTTTTTTGGGTTATTTTCCTATGTATCATGTGTTTTTTTTCCTAAAAACTTAAATGCTTAAGGAGTAGATGACCTAGTCAATCGTGTCTTTATCAGCGTAATGTGTGGGTCTGCCCCAAAATACCCATGGACATAATTAAATGCAGTTTGACTGAGCTGCTTGATGTGACAGCTGACTGCTTTTGTCCTTGTGGAAAGACAAAGTTGGTCTAAATTCTTCTGCAGTTGTTCTGCAGAGTTGGAAAATACTGGAAGAAATGTTAACTCTCCTTCCACTCCACTAATTTTCTAACTTGTGAAGGAAATTGCTAATTCTGGCAGTCTAGTGTCCTCTAGAAAATGAGAAATTATTTTGATTATGAAAATAGCCTTTGACTAATCATTCAAATTATTTTTCCTTTAATAGTGTAATGTAGATCTATAGATCTTTAGTTTACAGTAATTTTCCCATGTAATTACAAATTTTCCCAGGAACACTTAATATTTATGCAACCACAGCCGGCCTATAAGTTTTGTTCAAAAATCAGTGGTTTTCACAAATACTTGCCTATGGCAAGAAATGGAATAGCAGGAAATAGGCTTGTTCCTCAAACTCCTTTTTTTTTAAAATCATAACTCACCTCGGTATGTCCAATAACTGTAAAATTCTGGCTCTTGAATTCTTTGTAGAACCTTAACTGTATTTTAGATTCCTGTAGGTAGGAAGAAAACTGACCTTTTCTCCTGAACATTAAGCTGCCTGACCAGAAGAAGATGAGCTGTTATCATCCCCACTAGGTGCATTCAATTAACCAGTTTTTCCTGACCATACTCTTGGTTATTTCTTACAGATGTTAGGACTGGCACAGGGGTGTTTCGACCATACAGTTCCATACACGAAAGAGAGAGTCCAGTTTGGGAAAAGTGTCTTCGATTTCCAGGTACTTGTCAATGAAAATATGGGAAGTGCTCTCCAAGAAAGAAGTAGTCAGTAAAATGAGCAATGTGAGATAACATAAAAATAGTTTAACTCTTAAAAGCATTATTGACATGACTCCTTTTGCTCGATAACTTATTGAAAATAATTTGAAAATAATACACGTGGAGCTCCCTTCTCTTCTGATTTTAATATCACAGTCTGTTGAATATTCCAATTTTTATACCCTTTCATGAGGTGCAGGGGAAGGCCTTTTTCTGGAGCCACTAGAAATTATAAAAAGATGAGGAGAACTGATTGAACTGTTGGATTTCCTGTGTTACACGAAGGCATTTAGTTTTCATTATAATATCTGTATCTTACCACCAAAAAGACTCTTTGTTGCAGAAATGATGTATAGTTTAATAAGGAAGATACATAATTGTAATTACTATAGTAATTTTCTCGTTAAAAGAAAACCTACATCTCAGCTGAAGAGAAGGAACATTAGCACTCCTCATAATTTATGCAAATTTTAGGAAGCACTCACAGATACCTAGGAAATGATTGGAACTGCGTCTTTTGAATGGGAAATGGAATTTATAATTGCCAAATCATTTTGGTATTTTGACCTGCATATATATTTCTGCAAATCCGAGGGAACCGTGTTAATGCCCTAATAAGATGAAAGATTTCATTGTGTTTTAGACTGCTAAATGTTCTTTTTCTATCATCATAATGTTTGGGTCTCCTTAAATAAACCCATTCTTCTGTAATACCTGCCATTTAGATGTGAGCTCCAGCACCTTTTCCCTTCCCCCTGGAATCCATTCCTCACTCGTGTCCTCTGTACCTTTAAGCTGCTCCTGACCCCTTGCCTCGTGCCTCTGGGACACAGCAAGAGGTTGTCCCCTTCCTGGTGCTCCAGTTTATTCCAGAGGAGCTAGTTTGCAAGTCTTCCTGGGTTAAGCTCACCAGGGAACCAAACTTGTGACAGTGTGAGTGTCCTCAATAAACAGCTGCAGAATAAGAACCCAGCTCTGGCCTCCCCGTGGCTCCGCAGTCCTGGGGAGGACATTTAAGGTTTGGCTAAAGTTCTCCTTGATAACTCATGGGTGCAAATAGCTAACTAGTAGGTAGTTCTTGCTCCTGTCCAGCCACTCAGGCAAGAAGTACTCCAGTCCTCCTAAATCCAAGGAAAGGGAGGGAGAAAAGAGGAGCGCAGTTCCCAAAAGCACATCGATGGCCCAGAGGTTTTCAGTGTCAGCCGATGCAGAGGAACACGCAATTCCTGTTTCTCCGGGGTTTGGTGGATTTATTTCAGAGCGTAGGCGCGTTCCAGGGCGGAAGGCGTGGCCGCTGGTGGGAATTCCGGCGGGGCTGTGGGCGCTGTGTGAGCTGTGCTGTGCTGTGCTGCTTGCAGGGGATGCAGCACCAGATCGCGCAGGTGGCCACGCAGCTGGAGGCGGCGCGGCTGCTCACCTACAACGCGGCGCGGCTCGCCGAGAGCGGCCGGCCCGTGGTCAAGGAGGCCAGCATGGCCAAGTACTACGCTGCTGAGGTAACCCAGCCTCTCTCTTCTCTGTGCCACTGCTGCTTCCGCTGCAAATGTTTAGCCTGTAATTCACCTCTTGCTGTGAAATCCGTGGATGGGCTTTCATCTTGTCCGCCCCCATCCCTGGGACCGTCCAAGGCCGGGTTGGACGGGGCTCGGAGCAGCCTGGGCTAGTGGAAGGTGTCCCTGCCCATGGCAGGGGTGTGGAATTGGGTAGTCTTGAAGGTCCCCTCCAACCCAAACTATTCAGTAATTCTGTGATTCTCAGTCTGTGTACAGAACATAAAGTAACTCCCCCTCGTGTCTCCAAACAAATATTTAAAAACCGAGCAACGACATTAAAAGAGGCAAGTGAATTAATATTTTCACTTCGTCTGGAGGGATTTAATTTTCTCAGAATTCTCTTTTTGTGGCGCTGTGAGAGTTCATTTGTGGTCATTTCAGCTCTGCTGTTCGCAACTGTGAGTCTTAAAATGCTTCAAAACTGGGTGATTTCTGCCTCTTTGCAACTGCTGTCTTGCATACCGCTGTTAGCCTTTTCCACAGTGCAGCACAGGAACTATTGCTCTAACATTTAGTGAGTTCTTGATGGGCTTTGATTTGGAAAAATGTCTTTTTTTATTCTAAAATGGCTTGCTGAAGACAAATACAAAAATATCAAACCTTCCTCTTCCCGCCTCTTGTGGTTACTGCTTTATTGGCTGGTTTGTTTTTCCCTTAAATAGCCACAAAGAATAAGATTTACTACCACTGTCATGAAATTGAGTCCCGTAACTGTGAAACTATTTTCATAGGTTGCAACACTGACAACCAGTAAATGTATTGAATGGATGGGAGGTGTTGGATTCACAAAAAATTACCCAATAGAAAAGTATTATCGTGACTGCAAGATAGGTGAGTGAGTTTCTTACCAAGTATCTGGCTTTTTTTTCCCTAAGACTGCATGAACATGGATTCGAAGGCTCAGATCCGAAAATGTAACACTTTAGGTGTAAATACCTGTATATTTAAAATACACAGTTAAAATGTTTAATTACACGCCAATAAAACAGACGCAAACATTGTGTCCCATTCTATTAAGAAAATCCCAGTTTAAAAAAATTAAAAATACCCACTTTGGCTCTAAGATCTGAATGTATGTGGAGTTCTGTTTTCAAGATTCCTCGTTTACTGGGATAGTCTTTGGACCCTGTACTGACATTTTTAACAATATTACCCTTTGGCTTTTATTGTGATAGCATTTGGAACTGCTTAATTTTTGTTGGTTATTTAGAAATTGCTTCTCATGAAAATGTCTTTTCGTTATGTTGTGCCAGCCAGAAGAGTGATTTACTTGTTGCAGATAATATAGCATGAACATTTATATTTCATAATATTATATATATAAAATTATAATTCTATGTTAGTCCTAGCTCAGTAAAGCTTCACTTCTTAACTGAAAATGTTCTAACTGGGCTGTTGGAATGATATTTTGGTCTCTCTTCATAAATTCACTGTGGTGTTTTAGTCTGCTCGTTTATTTTCTTCTGATTTCAGGTACGATATATGAAGGAACCTCAAACATCCAGCTGAGCACCATTGCCAAAATGTTAGCACAGCAGTACTGAAACCATGAGGACTTCCTTGACTGTTAAAGGACATTATTTCCCTGAACACTCATTGTGAATTACCCATTTATTTGTAAATACAAGAAGCATTATTGACATCATATGTAAGAACACATCATCACAGATGAAACCATAGGGAAAACCATGAATTCCCCGTTTCAGCTCACGTGAAATCCTGAATTCCACGTTCAGACCCCAAGTAGGGGTTACAATATTGCTTCCTGCCTGAGAGAATTCCAAGATAATTCCTTGGATTTGGTCACCTTAGGCCATGCAAGCAGTGCATCTCCACTTGGGGATTTCCAAGTGAAAACAAAGGAAGCCAAATCCTTGGCATAACTGGTGGGAGAGGTTCTGATGAGCCACCTGGGAGGGAGGGCTCTACAGGAGAGAGAGCAGTGGTGGTTTCCTCTCTCCCAGCTGTGGAGCTGCTGTAATTGAGGTAATTTTTACAGCAGCCCTTAGTGTGTTCTTAAGGATATCTTTGTAATTAAGCCCTTCCAGCCCCAGTTTGTACTCCTGAAAGGTGGATAATACCCACCTCCCTTCCCAGCTTTCTCAGCTGTTAAGGGTTTTAATCTAAGAGGCTATTTATAGCTCTCCTTTCATAAAAGGTTGAGTTGAAATCTTTCTGAAATGGGGTTAAAAAAGCTCTGCTAGTTCTGCAAAAAAGACAGAGATATAAGCTGGGTAATAATAGGAGTGCTGTGATACTACCTCACAGTGGCCTTTCCATGTTCAGTGCATTTTACAAGCATTCACCCTCACATCCTTCCTGGGAGTTAGGGAGGCACTGTTAATTTGCAGCCTGGAAAACTCCTGGAATTAGTGGTTCTCCAGCATAGTTTTTCCCCTTTTGAAAGACATAAAGGGGCAGGGGGATGGGTTTTTTTTTTATCCCTCTCTGTTTACTTTAAAATTAGACATTTTATTTACAGCAGAAACCTCTTCAGTGCTGGAGAGCTAATTAACTAATAATCAAGAGACAGGAAGCTTAATATATGAAAAATCATCCTAATTGCTGTAATTGGCAATCTGTTTCAAGTGTTTTGGGGAGGGAAGGATTGGTTTTCTGGTTTTGGCTGACTTAGAAGAATCTCATTTTTAAAGCTGCTGCTCACCGATGATTCCCTTCGAGTGGAGCTTAAAATGTTACAGGCTGAGACTCCCAAAGGATTTTCTGGCCAAACTGGGGCAAATGACACTTAACAAATAGGATTTGTAAAACAGGCAGTTTTTTGCAGTGCCTTACACAAAGAAACCAGCAAGGATGAAAAGCACCATTAAAAAAGTTTTCTGACTTGCTGTCAGCTTCAAAGGGAACCGGCTACTTTAGTGAATTAATCCCCTCAGGTGCACACTTTGCCTGTTGATAGGCAAGGACTTGCTCTGGTCATTGTCCTTATGCCAGTAAAAAAGCCCCTCTCATATCAGCTTGATCAACAGCTTTGAGATTTTCAAGAGTACAGGAGTAGGAGGATAGACTAAATGGTTTCTGAAGTTTTCTTCTAGCATCTTTATTATTATTACTATTGTTACTATTGTTTTATTTGTTATCAGTATCATAATTATGAATGCATTTCAGGTGGTTTGCAGGCTTCCTTTCAGCTGAATTGAAACAGCTGGGGAAATGTAGACTAGAATTAAGACTGCGGACACCTCGACAGTTAGCTACAGTTATTCTGCTCAGCAGTCTGTCTGTGAGTCTGAAATGATCACAACCATACTCCAAAAGGCTTGAGTTAATGCTGATTAATGTGCTGAGTAGTGCTAAGGCGAGGCAGCCCTTGGCTGCTGCAGGTTAACCTGCTTTGCTCACAGGAGTGTCTGCAGAGACCAGGCTTTGGTTCACAGTTTTCACTAGTTCTGGTTTGAGGTACTTAGTTTGGCTTCTGCAGTTTTGGGTGAGGCTGGAAATGAGAGGCAATCCTGAACTGACTTCGTACAGTGCCAGAAGCAAACCCTTTGGGCAGGAAAGGGCAGAGCTCTTTGGGTTGGATATCCAGGGTTATGTAAAAGGACTGTCTCTTCGTGTAGAACTGTGTCAGGTTGTCCAACTGAAAAAATAATCAGGACAAAATGAAAGTCATGTGGTTCCTTCATCCTGAACTTGTGGCCTGAGTCCAGGAAACAACCTGAACATCCTCATCAGCTACTCAACAGTTCATTTCAGGAAAGCAAGGTCAAGCCTTTAACTAATGTTACAGCTGTAAATATCTCACATCTCTCAGTCATGTATGATGTATTTTGTACACAATTTTGAAAGAAATGTGTGTCTTATATTTGATATTTACGTACCAAATTCTGTGGAGGAATATGTGCACAAATCGATTTTAACCTCTGAGTTTCTTTCATCCTTGTTGTAAAATGACATGTGGAGATCCCCTTAACTGATTCCATTGCTGCTCTAAACACAGATGCTAGTTTAGCAATGAGAAGTGCTGTGCTTTGTCCAGGGGCTCTTAAGAGCTGCCTGTGCTCCCCAGCCCGTGTTTGGTTCGGGGCAGGCATTTATGGATGCTCATAAACTGCATTTCTACATTTGGCACTGTGGGCACGGGCTGCAGAGCTGGCACTGGGAGTGCTGTGAGGCTTTCTGTGCTAATGCCAGGCCTCAAAGCTGCTTTATGTCCTCAATATGTGTTTGTATTAGTGAATTTTCCCTTTTTGTGCCTTCAGTCAGCCCAGCTGATCCAGTCTGTTGTCCTGGAACAGCATCTTAGATTTGAAACGTCACATATGAGCTTCCCTGGTTAGAGGGAAAAAACCTGTATCGAGGATGTATTAAAAAGTGCCTGAATTTTATTTTTGACTTGATACAATACTGATCTCGTGTATTGGGTCATGGTTCTCTAATAATTAATCTGTCATTTAAAATTTTTACTAGCCCTTGCAGGTTTTTTCACCAGGAGAGAACGACTGTATCATCTGTCAGGGTTTTTTTTCTAGTTCTGTTCTGCTTGGTGATCAAGGTCTGAGGCTGATTTCTGCAGAAGGGTTTAATCACTACTTGGGAAATACTCAAATACAACGTTTTATATCATGTTTTCTATGTTGTTGTTTTTTCTTCCATATTTTCTTTTCCCCACATAAAGATTGTGTTAGAAGAGGCTAATGTGAAACACAGAGTAATTGTTCATTGGGAGCCTTTTGCTGCGTAAAGACTTTTCTAATTAACACGTTATTGCATTTCCACTTGAAAATCTTTTGGTGAGAGACACATTTCAAGCTCTTCCTACCAAGCCTGAAACCCTTTTTGCTGGAAATCTTCAAACCAGTGTGTTTCCTGATAGCTTCAAATGTTGATCCACATTGGTGTGTTAATGTTCTAAGGAACATGGAGTGTGCAGTGCAACGTTTTTTCTGGTGAAATATTTAAAATATAACCCAAAATTACTTACAGTCTCACTAGACAGTAATAGCATTTTTATATATTTTGCCTTTTGAGATCATTTGGGTTTCCACCTGCTCTCTGTCTCAGTAGAGCTGCTAATACTGGAGAACTTTAAAAAATGTCAAGGTGGCTTCACTAAAGGTCTTAAAAAAAGCACCTGACAGAAAACTCCCTGCCAATAGCCAAGAAACCAGCACTTTCAGATCTGGATTTATTTAAGATGCACATTGAGGACTGAAGAACGTGCAGGAAAAGATGTGCATGGAGCATTTTGCAGGGATCTGTTTGCATCTGTGAGACACCTTCCTCGTCCAGCCAAGACTCAGGGGATGGCCCACCCATCAGAGGGACAGGATCATTTTCTGATCGTCCTGGTCATCACATGAAGTTTGCCGTGGTTGTTTTTTTTTTGGCCTGAATTGTTTTCAAGGACGCGCCGCAAGATTTTCCCATTCGCTAATTTGCATCCTGAAGATGCAAATGAAATGCAAATTTTTCAATATAGCCAGAGCAGTTTTAATTTGATACTGTGTTGCTGATTTTTTTTTTTTTTTTTTTGCCTTGGTTTGGATAGCACCCAAGGACATGATAATTACATGTTAGAAAGGCATTAGCTTCTCTGGATACTTTTTTTTTTTGTTTTCTGTAGAAGGAATTTGCTAAACTGACTTAAAAATAATTAAGTAATAATTCAAAAATATAAAGTTAAGGTTCTTGAAATGTAGTTTGGTTTTTTTTTTTTTTCCTATTAGGTCCTTTCTGAACTTCTGAAAACATTTAGTGACTCCCTTTGATGCCCTAGAAGATGTTTAATGTGATATGAAGGTTAAATGATACAAAAGCTCCATTTATGTCCATAGCCTTGCTTTCCTCACGTTCACTGAAAAATTCCTTGTGTTCTGCTGTTTGACTTTCACCAAACAACACAAACTATTCTGCTCCTTTCTTAAATTACATGTTATTTAGGTCTTCTCAGTTTCTGTCCAACCAAGCTTTAAAAGGAAAACCATTTTCCCAGTTTAATTGCAGCAATGCCTACATTTGATGGATAGGGCAGGCTGTTTTGATTGTTGCTTGAATAATAAAAGCTGGATTCAGCAGGATATTTGTCATAAACTGTATTTGACTGCCATGCAGGATTCACAGTTTCCAAGGACCAAAGGAAGGTGCAGCAATAGATCTTCCATTTAGTGCTGGAAGTATTTTAGCTCCACTGTACTTTGACTCCAGTGATCCAATTTGCAGAGATAAACAATTCTCTGGAGGTAATACAGCTTGTCATTATTTAATAATTATTTAAAATGTGCCTTGTTACCCTTGTGTAAGAATCTGGGCTGCAGGAGGGCTGTGGCTGAGCTCTGATTCTTGAGGGGCTGACACAGCACTGGGTTAGAGCACCCGATGGTCTGGTGTCTCAGACTGTTGTAATTTAATAACCAACCCTCTCTATCCTGCTGCTTCTATTTAGAAGTGTCCAAAAATCTTTTTTTTTTTTCCTTTTTTTTTTTTTTTTTAACTGCAAAAGCCTTCTGGCACTAAATTACATCTATTTCTTGACTGAAACATATCTGCTCTATGCTAACCTCATTACCCAGGAATGATTTCTAGAAGAGGAAGTGAAGAATAATTAAATCATTCCTAACTGAAGGAAATGCTTCGCAGAACTATGCAAATTCCAATTTGGCCAAGATGCTGTGGTTTCATGTTCTATTTCTGGGAAGGGCAGAGGGAGAAACAGTTATTTTTGGAGTCATGGACAGCCAGGTCGTGGCTTCAGTTTTCTCTCCTACCTCGAGCTGAGTGCAGGGACATCCCTGTTCAGGAGGGAGCACAGCTCCTGCCACCCCTCTGGTACCTGGCCTACTGTAAGAACGTGTAAATTAAACTTGCCCTCCTTGCTGCAAGTGTCCTCTTGCTGAGACCCCTAAATTGGGGGATTTTCCTGCAAAATTAGGGCTCAGCTCAGTCACCACAGTGACTTCTCTGCAGTGCTGTGCTGCCCTGGCACAGGGCAAAAG